CACCAGAGGTTACACGCTCAGTCTGATATCTAGTGTCAGTAACGCACCTCTATCCAGTGTCAGCCATACACTACTTGCCAATGCCAGACATATAATGGATAATTCCGATTCCGAAACACTAGAACAAATCGCAGATTACATTTCAAAATTTTGTTGTAAAGATTCTGAGGAAAATTCAACAAATATCATACAACCTGCTGCCAGTTTGCCGTTTAAGAAGAGCGTTGATTCCACGAATATTAATCCCGACAAAGAAAGAGATATTACCCTTAAAAGTCCCGATATTGATGTCGATAATCGTGAAAACTATAATGATACCTGCAAACTTATTTTTGGCGAGTCCTACGAAGAACTACAACATCAATATGGAGTGTCCAACAACACAAGAGGTCACACGCTCAGTGTCAGCAACGCACCACTATCCAGTGTGAGCCACACACTACTTGCTAGTGTCAGCCACGCACCACTTGCCAGAATCAGCCACGCACCACTTGCCAGTGTGAGCCACGCACCACTTGACAGTGTGAGCCACGCATCACTTGCCAGTGCCAGATACTCACCACTTGCTGGTGCCAGACACGCAACACTTGCTAGTGCCAGACACTCACCACTTGCTAGTGCCAGATACTCATCATTTGCTGGTGCCAGACACTCACCACTTGCTAGGGCCAGACACGCACCTCTTGCTAGTGCTAGACACGCACCACTTGCCAGTGCCAGACACACACCACTTGACCATTTGATCAGTTGTGATCAACACCACATATTTTTGCCGTATGTGTCTCACCAACACTCTTCAGCCGGCCGCTATGAACACTATTCAGTCACCAAGGAGCCAAACGACGAAAGATCCCTGAAATTCCTTTTCATCAAGAACAAAAAAGTCGACCTGCCACACGATCAGTTCTCAGTCAGTGGACGTGCACATCCTGAGATTGACAAGCAGAAAACCAACGGCCAGTTCGCTTGCAATTTATCTCCAGAATTGACTGCCGTTGCAGAAAACGTCCCTGCAGCCTCCGTCATTAATGGTGATGAAGCTCTCGTTGAGGTACAGGCTACCAATCGCATTACATCAAGACCTGCTCACAAGGCCTACCCATATCCTCACTGTCCCAAGTCTTACGTCTCAGGAAAATGCCTTAATCGCCACATTCCTCACGTGAATGAAGAATGACCACCTAGTGGGTCACCGGCAGTCAATAATGCCTGTTTAAGTTCTAGGTTGCCTGTTTTAATGTCTGTTTTAAGTTCGTCATCAAATGTGAACATTTGATGACGATGGTCATAATAATGTAGCTGAAGAGTTGATGTCCCGCCCACACATCTGAGAGTAAAAAAACGATGACGTTTCCGTGTGTCCTGGACCTTAATAAAGTCGTGTGAGTTCCAAATAGCTGCCTCAATGTACACAATTTTAAAAGATGATGTTCTTTGAAATTTTAATAAAAAAAAACGCTATAATACTGATTTCTTTTACAATTTCCCTTGTAAACATTAATATTATTAAAACCAAAAACATAAGAATAAAGATAACTGCAGAAGGCCTATTGGCCCATACCAGGCTGCTCCTTTCTATAACCACCCAATCCCACTCATATACATGTCCAACCCACGCTTGAAACAAGCAAAAAATGCTTGTGGGCGTCAAGGAAAGTACGTACGTACGTGAGTATGTGATTAAGTTACAGAAATTCCTGCAGTGATGTCCGAGAGAACCATCATTGCAGGAGAGAGAACTGTTGAGGGAAAGGAGTGTCTGACTGATTAACCCTACATTGTCTCTGTATTTTAGGGCACCTAAATAATCTTTGTTTTTATGTAATTATATTCTTTTATATACTCACCATATACTGCTACGGAAATATGGATATAAATTCACCTGAACGTGTCCAGCGTTGGATGAGGAAGTTAATTCCACAAATTAGAAACCTGTCTTATAAAGAAAGATTAACAAAGCTTAAATTGCATTCACTGGAAAGGCGAAGAGTAAGGGGTAACATGACAGAGGTTTACAAGTAGATGAATGGACATAACAAAAGGAATATTAATAGAGTATTAAAATTATCAACACAAGACACAACTCTAAACAATTGGTGTAAATTGGATAAGTTTCGATTTATTAAAGACCTGGGTAAATACTGGTTCGGTAACAAGATTGTTGATTGATTGTATAATCAATTACCGCATAACGTGGAGGAGGTGGGGTTCCTTGATTGTTTCAAACGCTGGTTGGACTTGTATATGAGTGGGATTGGGTGGATATAAGTAGGAGCTGCCTCGTAATGGGTCAGTAGGCCTTCTACAGTTGCCTTCATTCTTATGTTCATAAACCCTGTTAAACACTGCACAAATCTAAAAGGCCTTGATGCGGGTTCGAACTTTCGTCTGAGAGGCCCCAGACGCGCCTTAATCGACTGAGCTACAACATAGTATAAGAATTGCAACCGAGAAATGAACTTGACCTACCACGGATCCTGCAGTCTCTCCGAGACACAAACCAGGATTTTACACAATTCCCCATGCACCCGAGCTCTAGTAATAAGCTGTTCTATCTCATTGCGCTTACATCATTTCACACAGAAATCTGTTAAACACTGGTTTGGGAATAGGGTGATTGGTCTATGGGACAATTAATCAAGCATTAACAAACGTGAATTCTTATTTTACAGCATCTGACTGGCTTTCTGGCAGGTCAGGTGGTACGCGCGTAATATAAGCTGCTCTGTACCAAATTTCCTCACTAACACCCTATCAGACTCTGCATAACTTGCTAACTGGTCGGAATATACACCAGACTGTAATTTACAGGCGTTTATACACTTAATTATTTGGTCGAGTGATCTCGTCTTGCTTTCATTGTTTTAAGATCCATAGAATGGATAATACTGAATCCGAAACACTAGAACAAATAGCAGATTACATTTCAAAATATTGTATGGATTATGTGGAAAATGCAACAAATATGATACAAACTACTGCCAGTTTGCCGCTTAAAAAGAGCGTTGATTCCACGACTATTAATCCTGATATAGAAAGGGTAATGAACGTTAAAAGACAAGATAATGAAGTCGATAATCGTGAAAACTATAATAATACTTGCAAACTTATTTTCGGCGAGTCCTACGAAGAACTACAACAACAATATGGAGTGTCCAACAACACCAGAGGTCACACGCTCAGTCTGATATCTAGTGTCAGTAACGCACCTCTATCCAGTGTCAGCCATACACTACTTGCCAGTGACGCACTACTTGCCAATGCCAGACATATAATGGATAATTCCATATAATTATATTATATATTATTATATATATATATATATATATATATATATATATATTATATAACTGTATATAATTATACAGACATAATGGAAAATTTGCCCAATACTGCTTCATTTTCACATTTGGATGCAGCAGTGGCATATTGTAGGTTAAACACAATATAAATAACATAAGAGTAAATATGTTGAACACAATTCATGTAATTAATAATTCCTACCCTGTTTTTGGTCTGCACAATATATTAAATGTTGGCTAGTGCACATTCCTTAGTACAGTGCTAACTAAATGAGAATCCTATCCTTAGTGGCTTAGCACAAATCAATTGATTAGGCTAGATTGAGCAACATTTAGTTGGGCTCCTGCCTAAAATTGTCCTAACTACAGTTAAGGTTTGGCAATAAATTTATATACCATAATAATGAGGAGTAATGGATTAGTGCTATGTATTTTGTTTGGTTTTATATAAAAGACTCTTATTTTGAGTGATGTATATATAATTAGTATGGGGTAATCTCTTCAACTCAGGTATTTGATGAGGATTTATTAATTTGTTATTGACCCTAACACGAAAATAATCCACACAATTAATGGATAAATTTACGTGAGTGCTTAGTCTTATGGTTGGATATTAATGTGCGCGTCAACTCCGCGGATTTAAAACCACTATTTTCCCTGGATTTTTAAACAAAATGACGCACTTAATTTAGAGGTGCATAGCTACACTATGCATTATATTTATTGATAATTTTTATTTATTTCCTTACCTGTATTGAGGTTTAAAACCATTTTTGCTTTTTATTTTCCTTCCCTCGCCGTTTGAAACTCATAATCACAACTGTTAAATAATTTGTTAAAAAAAAGCAGTCATCGCACGTGGTAACTGACGCAATCGCGCGGTTATGCATTTCTAGAAAACTTCTAGAAATTTCACCTACCTGAAATTAATGGTTAGTAAAATTAGTTTCTGGTCACAACCAATTTATGTCAGGGGTTAATAATTTGGATGTTAGGATTCCCTACATATAACACGGCAATCGAAACTAAACTGCATGATGTAAATGGGGCCTAACTAGAGCAGGATATAACTGAAGAATAACACAAGGTGTATTATTACTAATGCTTCGATAAATAAATCCCAGTGTCCTATTTATTATATTTCGTCAACAGATCACTGTAAGCAGCGATTTTCCTTTTTTCTTGTATTCTTAGTCAAAACTTTGATCTAAAATAGGTTAGGCAAGAAGAAGTTCTGTATAAGTATTTATTTTTATGATATCTATACAATGAACACGTGATATTGAGACATTGAATCTGTGATATATTCAAGGTGTCCTAAAAGTAAGTTAAAGGCGGTGCTGCTTCTATGGTGGTGACAGTGTCGACGTTCATCACCATCAGGGACTTAGTCACCTCCACCTCAATCATTACCAGCTGCAGGGCTGGTGCCGTCACCGTCTGGACTGTGACGGAGGTCACGGGAACATCACTGACCTGGAACACGGTGTTGAGGAGGATCTGGTTGATGGGAAACACCACGATCTCTGTGACATTCTGCCACTCGTCCTGATACTGCACAGTCTGGAAGACGGGACAGAGCAGCGGCCGTGGCTTGCAGTAAAGGGCAGCGGATAGAGGCACAAGCACCGCAAGGTAGATCATAACCTCAGACTTGTAGTATGAGGCTAATATTTGCCTGGATCTTTCACGTTTTCTTTACCTTTGTACTGTGAAACAAAGTTTAATATGAACCTCATACACTGAATTTTCCACAGCCTTTTCGGCAAGCTTGTAATGACGGTACTCGGGCTTGAGTTCCCACATATTCTTGTGAGGATACTTAACATTATAGTTACATAGGTCTTTCAGGATCTCCTTTAGATATGTGATTGGTTGTCGGGTAATCTTGTGGAGATCCTTAATATTGTAATACTGATGATTTTCAAATGCAGCAAACAACAACTCCATGACCTTATCTTTATCATCACGAATCGTCTTGCCTTCTGCCTTCTTCATCTGCTCTAAATAAACATTATGTTTATGGTGTGAAATAGGCTTATAGCCGTTGAGGGGTCTGTCAATAAGCTTTACTGTATGAAGAGACTGGGCAGCTTTCTTCACAGCTTCCCTTTTCTGATTGATATAGTAGTCGTCCACTACAGGCTGACATTCTAGTTTGTGGATGACTTGTCCCTCAAAGGACAATTGCTGTGTCTCGGAAACTGCAGCATCCGAGCTGCTGCTGCCGAGATCTGGTTCAGAAAGAACTCCGAGTGTCATTTCTTTTAAACTATGAGAAATTACCTTGTGCTCTCGAGGAATTTTCCCGTCCTTCAAGGTATGTTCACTAGATTTAAAGGTTATTGTCGGAGGTTTACCAGGCACCTTGGTAATCTTAAGCTTTCCAACGTCATGGCCAGCACAGTCTGCCCATTTTAAATATTTAGGTACCTTGCCCAAATATTTAGGTACCTTGACCAGCCACAGCCCACGGCTGCAATTCGTAATATCCAAGTCCATCTTAGACTGTTGGCTCATGATGATTGATTGATAAAGATTAAGCCACCCAAGAGGTGGCACGGGCATGAATATCCCGTAAGTGGTACAATTTTTTTTTTTTTTTCCCAGTGTTCTGAGGTTGCATTTAACCATCAAGCTGTTATCGTGGGGGAGGATACTGCTTCAGTCTTTATGAGGGTGTCCAGCTGCTGGACACCTTTGTTGACCAGGAGAGTGGCTGTGTTGATGGCTTCAGGGCGGCCACTGCATGATTCAGGAACTCTTAAAGCTCTTCTAAGGTCATTGGTTGCTTCACATTCCAGAAGATAGTGAAGTAATGGCTTTTCTGTGACAGTTTGGCAGAAGATGCACTCTCTCTGTCGGGGTTCACCAATCTCCCAGTTGCATCTGTAACCTAGACGTAGTCTATATAGCCTAACTGCTATTTCCCTGTGGATTCTTTTTGGGATATTTAACCTTTCTAATTTGGTTGCCTGAAGATACCATGTTGCAGAGGGTGAACCTTCAGCTATTCTCTGGTGTAGGTAGGCTTTGTTGAGATGTGAGAGTTTTTTGATGATGATGTTTCTTATGTTCTCTAGGCTGGGTTGAATTGTTTTATGTATCACTGGATGACGAGTTGCCAATTTAGCAATTTCATCAGCTTTTTCATTTAATGGGATTCCAATATGGGATGGGATCCAGTTTAAAGTTATGTTGAGGCCTTTGCCTTTAGCGACTGCTCCTTGATACAAAATGGTGGTAATTATTTCCACATTATCTTTCCACTGTTTTTGTCCTAGTATTTGAAGTGCAGCTTTTGAGTCTGTGTGTATGATTGCATTTTGAGTGTTTTGTGCAATCACATATGCGAATGCCTGTTGTATGGCGAACAGCTCAGTTTGGGTTGATGATACTAGTCCTCCCAGTCTCCAATATGCCTGAACGCTGGTCGTGCAAAGAGCAGCGCCAGCACTCTCATTTTCTGTGTCCACCGATCCGTCTGTGAAGATGTGGGTGGCTCCTGCTATGCTATACATTTGCTCTTCTATTATGCGCCTTAGGATTGTCGGATCATAGGCAGCCTTTTTCATTGGGAGACTTTCTATTACTATTTTGAAAGTAGGCTCTTCCCACGGCGCGGAAGGAGTGTAATTTGGGTGTGGATGATCACCCTCTCTATCAAGAATCATGTTTTTTAAATGTAGTCTGTTTAGGACTTTTCCTGCTCTTGCAACCCAAGAGTTTCCATTGTTTTGGCCTAGTCCAACCACCAAAGCCTGCCGTACTGGGATTGGATCAGAAGAAATAATTATCTTACTGATAATTGTAGCTGATATTCTTTCCTTTGTAGAGAGGGCAAAGGGATATTCCTTTGTGATATTCTTTCTTGTAGAGTGGGCAAACCCGTCTCCCGTCTAAGAGTTTCAAGCCTAGTCCACATGGGGGCTCCCAGTGCAGCTCTCATAGCATTGTTTTGGGCAACTTCAAGCTTTTTCCACTGTTGGTGTGATAGATTTGTGAGTGCAGGTGCGGCATAATCGATCACTGATCTGACTGCCTGTACATAGTATGTGCGAAGGACTTGCAGACTGGCTCCTCCAGAAAGGGAGGTTAGCGACCTGAGGATTGCTGTCCGGGCCGCAGTTCGCTCTCTCAAGTATGTGACCTCAGCATTAAAATTCATGTGTGTGTCCAGGATGATTCCTAGATACTGATAGGTGTCGACCCATTCTATTGGTTGACCCTGTACTGTGAGTTGGATGTTGGGCTTCGCTATTTTTATGGGCATGGCCTTTGACTTTGAGGGGTTGAGTTTGATCCCAATCTGTTTTGCCTCTTTACTGATGCAGTCTAAGCATTTGGGTGCAAGGCGCGCCGCATCCCTTCCTTTTATGATGATGACAAAGTCGTCCGCGTAGTTTAGCAGCCTGCAGTGATGTGGGAGTTTCAACCTCATTATTCTTTCCATTAAACAGTTGAAGAGAAGAGGGCTAAGAATACCTCCTTGCGGTGTACCATTTTCATGTCTTTTGTACTCAGAGACTGTGCCATGAAGTTTTACTCTTACTTCTCTGTTTATGAGACAGTTTTTGGTCCAGGAGAGCAGGTTGCCTCTCACCTCTTTGTCAATGAGGCAGCAGAGAATAGCTGGGGCGCTAGCCAGTTCAAAGTCTTTTTCGAGGTCCAGGAATATCAGCATTCCTGGTCTGTCATTCAAGTGGGCTAACAGAGTTGTAATGCATTCCACTGTGCCAACCCCTCTTCTATAGGCATACATATCATGGTGCAGTTTAGGCATTTTCCACTCCAGTCTGTTGAGTGCCATTCTGTCAGCCGTCTTGGCTGCACAGCTTTGGAGAGAGATGGGCCTGGGATTAGCTGGATCTTTGGGTTTTGGGATCGGCACTATGTCTGCTCTATTCCAAGCAGAAGGTCTAGTTTGAGAAGTCCAGGCTAAATTAATTAACCTTAGGTATGCAGCGTCTCCCTCTGGGCCGAGGTTTCTAATCATTTTATAGGTTATTTTGTCGGCTCCAGGGGATGTATCCTTGGAGTTTTTCTTAGCCCGATTGAGCTCATCCAGTGTGGGCATTAGTGTCTCTGACACTAATGCCCCCTGTTCGAGCCCATTCTTCACATGCTGTAAGGATTCTGTGCCACCTTTCTTCCTCTAGTCCGGTCTGTACTGCTAATACATCTGGTGGAAGTTGATTGCTGGCTGCTCTCTCTGCAAACCTGGTTTCCAGTACTTCGGCTTCCTGTTGAGGATCTTTGGGGTGTGGAGCTTTAGGTGTTTTATTCCCTTTGGCCCGGTGAATTTGCTGACACATCTCCCCGAGAGAGGTGTGTTCATTCAGGTGTGAACACCATTCTAGCCACTTTTGTTCTTTTATTTGTCTGGTCTCTCGATGTACATGTTCCTTGACCTCACAAAGTAAGATCCTGTTGCGGTCACTTGGCTGCTTTTTGTATAGCTTTCTTGTTCTATTGAGTCTATGGTTGAGTTCTTTGACACGTTCGCAATAGTACCAATGATCTTTATGGTGTCCGGTGGACTGTTTTTTCAGTGGGATTGAGTGGTTGGCTGCACTCTGAATCGCTTTGACAAATTCTTGTTCTGCCTGATTAATGTCTTCGGGAAGATCATAGTTTCTTTGCCACTCTGAAATGAGGTTTTGAAATCGGTCCCAGTTTGCTAAAGCAAAGTTCCAGGCTTCAGATGGCGGAGGTGGGGTGGGTAGGTCTAACTGAAGATCAATTTGGACCCCATAGTGGTCGCTTGTGAGTGTGGGCTCAACTGACCATGTTGCTGCATCTCTTAGGGAGGCTGAAACGAAGGTTAGGTCTAATCTGCCTCCTTGGATGTGGGTAGGTTCATTCTTGTTTAGGATTTGTATTTCTGGAAGCTGGTCCAGTAGATGTGTAATGTGTATGCCGGCTTCATTTGTTTTGTTCGAGCCCAGTGCCAATCGATGATGGGCATTAAAATCTCCACAAATGATTGTGTTTGTTGTTGTCGCGTGTCCAAATAACACAGAGAGATCCATTTCGGCTTGTGGAGACCTGTACACATTGAACACTTCAAGTTTGTCGTGTCTTAGCTCAATGGTGACTCCCATTACCTCTGTCCCTGCTCCACAATTGGGTGGGCTGGTTATGGATTTGGAGATCAGGTCACTTTTTACATAGATTGCACATCCCCTGGATTGCCCATTGATCCATGGAAGGAAGAAGCCTCGATAGCCTGAGATTTTAGGTTCTAATCCGGCTCGAAGCAAGCTCTCCTGTAGTATCAGGATGTCTATGCCTTTGGTTGCTGCTATGCATTGCAAGTGTTGCAATTTAGTGCGCAGTCCTTGCGCATTCCATTGCAGGATCTTTAGAATTCTAGGTTCTTGGAATGTGCTGATAATTCCGTGGTATCCATGGAGTCTGATGAACACGCCATGGAAGTTGCAATTGGGGTATAGGTTCTTAGTGGTCCTGAAATTGCCTCATCAATGTCGCTTTCCGACGACCTGGACTCTATCTGCTTTTTATGGGGGTGCCTCTTGCCCTGCTGTCTTGACGGTATGGATATTACATCTTCGAATTTTTTGAGCTTGTGCTCAATTGTCTTCCGAGTCTCTGTGGTTTGCTTGATTCCATGTGAAGACAGCAGACTTTCGATTAACTCAGTGACCAAAGTTTTTAGCATTGGCCAGAGAGCGTTCAGTTCAGTGGGAGCACTATTTAATGTTGTGCAGGTTGAGGGCCTAGTGGCTTTTAGACCCTTCTCGGTGGTAACTTTGGCACTGGAATTGCTACTCCTATTGGCCCCAGTGTGCTTGCTGGATGAAATGGGAGGCCGACTGCTTTGAACATGAGTCTTGTGTCCTCCATCTTTCTTTTTGTCCTGCACTGTCTTCTCACCCTTCACCATGGCCGATGGTGAAGGGCCGTGTGCCCCCTCTTCCTGAATGGGTAGACCCCACGCGGTTTTAGTGGGCATGGGAGCTGGTATTCGTTTTGGTTGGGGTTTCGGCTCCGCTGTTGGCGTGGTGGGGTTCGTTTGAAGCCATTTGAGCCTTTCAGGGCATTTCAAGTTCCAGGCATGATGTGCCTTGGAACAATTTGGGCATTTTGCCTGAACAGGGTGGTTTGCCTTGAATTTATCAATACATGTTTTTGTATCATGGGACTGGCTGCAGACTCCGCACCTCACTGGGCGTTGGCAGCCATCTTTGTGATGCCCAAATCTCTGACATCTAAAGCATCTTAGGGGTTCTGGGGTGTAAGGCCTGTGTTGGAACACCCCCCAGATTCCAAGGTCAAGTTTTTCCGGGATGTGATGAGGAAGTAGATGCAGGCAATAAATAGGCTAGAGAGAGGTGGGGAGCAAAGTGTAGTAGTAGGAATAAGAACTGCAGAGGGCCTATTGGCCCATACGAGGCAGCTCCGATTATAACCACCAAATGAGAAGGAGATAGTAATAGGAATAAGAAGAGGATAGTAAGGGAACGCAAAAAAAACAAAGAATTGAAAAGAGAAGAGAG